CTGTCACTGGTTGAATGCCTTGTCGAACCACACCAGCTTCCCTTGCTAGGCCGTGAAGATGACGGGCCGCTTTTTGCACTTGATCCAGGAAATCTCGGATGGTTGCGTCTCGGGCCCTCACCCTTCGTTGTGCTTGTTCCCAACGGAAACGCCATTGTAATCCTCCGTCGAAGGGCACCATCTGAAGCTCGTTTGCTTGCCTCTTGTACCCATCTACAATAGCTTCTAACTCAGCTATTGTCTTGCCATCTTTCTCGTGTTGTTTTTCTAAGTCAGTTACCCGAACTCTCAAGCGCTGGTTCTGATATTGACTATCTGCCAAGCGCCTTTGGGCAGTCTTTGTTTGTTCTTTCCAAGCTCTCTCATCAGGCCCCTCGAACTTCCTTTTCAGGCTATGAGCTTCGTCTTTCCAGTATTCAGAGGTTACCTTCAACTTGGAGTTATCCTTGACCTTATCTTGATACCCCTTTCTCAGGTCTTCGAGCTCAAAACGGACTCTTTTTTGTTCTTTTTCCAGTTTTTCTGCCCGATCTTTCTGAGAGTCAGCATCAAGCTTCCACTGATAACGTTCAGCTTCAAGTTCCTTTATCCTTTGCTTCAGCTCATTATTCACGGCTTCAAACTCGGTCTTGGCTATCTCGAGTTCAGAAGGGACATGCCTGAGATGTTCCTCCATGGTCCGGGTGTCATCACAGTCTGGCACAGGGATATTGTCATTCTTTCTCAATCTTCGCCACTCCACATAATCCGGAGTGAGCATACTTCTGGCAGCTATAACATCCATCCGGAATACTTTCCTCCATGAATCGGCCACTTCTTTGATCATCTTCTTATAGCTGTCGCCGTGATACTCAAACTCTGACCTAGCTAACCCGCATGTTGCTGGGACAAACTGACGTGCTCCATACTGTCTAAGTGCTAATAGCGGAGCATACCCGACTGCTCCCCAAAGTCCAAGTAAGGTCACAGTGTCGGAGTCACCACATCGAAAAAGAACATCACTGAGGAATAACCAAGGGGCTCTCCAAACAATATCTCGGTCTTGAAGATGCGTAAAGACCTTCATCCATTTTTCTTTCGAGGCGCCTTCATGCCATTTTAAGGTAATAAATTCACCTAGAGGTGAATAGGTGGTGCTGAAACGGCGGTAGGCAACCCCGTCAGTCTTCCAGAAGTGGCTGTGAATCCAGACTTGAAGGAGCTGAATGCACCCGGTGAATCTTCCTCCGCCAATTCTTCGGCAATGATTGAGAGATCGAAAGGTCTCAGCCAAGATGGCTGGTGCTGGATTGACTCTTCTCGAGAGTTGTTCGAATAGCTCCACTACGGTGGCATCGATGTATCCCAAGGTCTTTGGGAATAAAATTAGACCATACAGACCTAATGCAAACAGGTCTATTGTCTTCCACTCATCAGGATGGTGCTTCATTAGTTGTTTGATATGAAGCCAAGCGATTCCTTCTCCACTACCCTTACATCGAGCTCGGTCAGTTACCCATTTTTCATCAACTCCGGCAACCTTAGCTAGTGTATTTTTGAAAGGTTGACTTTTAATGTGCTTAAGGTAGGCCCGCTCGAGTTTGATGTTTTCACAATGCAGCAGTGTAGTGTACTCTTCTATGGTGGGCACCATGTCTTCCCGGTTAAAGGTGAAGCAACTGTATCCCGGGTTCCAGAATTGAACCAAGGCTCTAATTAGGGGCTCATCAATCTTAACATGAAGCAAAAGTGAAACATCACCGTACCGTTGGCTGAACTTCTGTTTCACCTCATTCTTCCAACTGTCCCAGATGTCCCGGAGCTCTTGTACGTCATTCTGTTTTAGGCTGATCGAGGCGTAGTTAACCAGCTCTGACACATAGCTGTCTTGAAGACTGTCTCCCTTTTCCTTCTGAGTCTTCTCGGACCATAGTCGTACCTCAGGGTTTTTAATCTCTTGTATTACAACACCTTTATCCATTAATTCAGATTATTTTGTACGTAATGAACGTCTTTTTAGGGATCAATGGCCTCTTGTTATGATGCAAATGCTAAAACAAACACAAAGGTAAAAAGTTAGTAAAAGTAGAAATAAATAAATAAATGAAAAAAAAGAAAAAAGTGGCAAGGGAAAAAACATAGGGACAAAAACATGGTTAGGTAAACAGTATCCTAGGTTTTGGAATGTGGTTTTGGGGTAGGCTCTATTTCTTCGAAGTCTCCTGGTTTAGGTTCTAAAAAACGGTACCCGGGTTCTCCTTGTTGGTGTCCCCTTGGGCTTACCAGACCCTTAGTCCTAAACCCATCACAGGCTTGTGTGGACTAAGTTAAACTCGAGGGGACACATTCCCTTATGTCTATGCGGAGAATAAATTCACACGAAGACATAAGGTATATGAATCCCGAAGGCTACTTGCTAGGCATATGCGGTGAATAAATTCACACGAATGCGTCGCTTTCACCCCCACTTAAAGGGTTCGGAGCTCGGGTATAGAGCCTTTGGATGAAAAAGTTTGGAAGGCTGAAATCATTAGAAAACGGTCAGTCCAACTATTTACTCGAAAAAAATATAACCAAAAGTAAGTAATAAGGATCGAAATGTTACCTTAAAGTTCAAACTTACCCTTTTCATTAAAAAGACAACTGGAAATTACCTTAGCCTGACTCACTTACCTGTAGTCCCCAGCGGAGTCGCCAAGCTGTCGGAACCGTCTTTCGGTTGGGCCCCGGAATTGGGCTTCGACTTAGGAAAATGGGGATTGGAGTCGCCACCGATCATTTATTTAAAAATAAATGGGTTGATCGGATACCCTATTTCTTACCTGATCTGCGTCTTACCAGAGATGTGTCGGATTCGGGAGTCGGTTACAGTCAAGGAAGGGCTAGCACCCTTGAACTGCCCTTTCGGTACTGTGTAATTTCCAGTTGTCTTTAATTAAGAAAATTGAAAGTTAAATTAAAAGGTAAAATATTGATCCAAATTGCTTACCACTGATTGTTTGAAGTTCTCTCAAAAAGCCAAGGAAAAGGTTAGGTAATGGAAGTAATAAAATAGAAAAATAGGGCGAACAAACGAAACAATAAAAAAAAACAATGTATAAAAAAAGAATGAAATATGACTAAATATAAAATAAAATATGCAAAGGAAAAAAACGAAAATACAAATAAAGAAAAAGAAGAAAATATAATAAAATATAAATGGATAAAAAAATACACATAATAAAATAAAATATAAAGCAATGAAAATGAAAAAAAAGAAAGAGGAAAAAAAAAATATGCGTAATATACATATAATAAAAATAACAATTATAATAGTAAAAATAGTAATGAAATAATAATGATGAAAATAATAAATAAAATATATATATATGTAGAATATAAAAAAATACATAAAAGATATATAGAAATAAAGAGTAAAAAATGAGTAATACATATACATATATAATAATAAAAAATATAATATGATAGCATAAATAAATAAATAATAATAATAGTAAAAAGTAAAAGGGGAAATAAATAAAATAAAAATGGAATAAATAATTAATGAATGAAACAAGAAATATATATATATTAAAGTATTAAAAAGGAAAAATATCAATAATAGGTAAAATGAATATATATATATATATGTATATACATATGTAAATGCAAAAAATATATATATATATATATTAATAGAAATATAATTATAAGATAAAATGAGTAAGATTGGTAAATAATAAAAAATACATAAATAACGTATAAAATTATAAGATGTAGTAGCTAGATAAAAAAAAAAGTTAATTAAAATAATATATATGTATTAACACTAAGTATATAGATGAAATATATAGAAAATACGTATATAGATATATATAATTACATGATATGGAATAAATAAAAAAAGGTTAGTATAAGTATTAAATTGAATCAAAAAACAAGTTAGGTGGCTAAAGTGAAAGAAAATCAGAATTAGAGACCAATTCAAAAGCAAATTCGGGGTCAAAATAACTCTTTAAAAGCTGCGAGGGACCAAAAGGGTAGTTTACCCTAATTTATTACAAAACGCGGATCTGATATAAACGGATCAAATGCTTTTTTATTTCATTTTCTCTTCTTCTTTCGCCCGAATACTCGTCCCTCTCTCATTTCCTCTCCACATTCAACCGTGTTCTTCAACTGAAGAACACGGCCACCATGAAATCCAGAAAACGGCCGATGGCCACCTTGCGCCGCCTCGCCGCCGCCGCTGAACGGGACGGCCGCCGTTCATCGGCGGCAAAACCCTTTTTTTTTTGTTTTACGAAGCTCTTTTCCTCTGGTTTTCCAAAAATCCGAATAGTTTTTTTTTGATCGGGCCTCGGGATTGCTAGATCTACAAAGATAGATCTCAGAAACTTTTCCCGTTCATCGGCCAAAATTTTTTATTTGGTATTTTCGAGCTAAATCGCGAGGAGGAATCAACATGCAAGAGTGAAATACAAATGAACAAGGTAAAAACGATACCTTCTCTTATTTATTTCCGAGGAATCTTACAAAAAAAAAATGCTTGCTTTTGCCTTTCGTATCTCTGCTAACGTTCTTGGGTAATTTTCGTGTAATCTTTTTGTAAAATCGTATCCACCCCCTGATATTGTTGATTACATGGGTATTTATACACATAATAATGCTATCTCTAGTTCCGAATTTTAAGAGGTTTGTTTGGACTAAAACACTTGTTATTTGCTATTTTGGTGTCCTAAACATCCACGATGTTGATCTGTTGCCGAGAAGCATGGGATAGAGGCGTGTATGGCGAAGACTCGTGGGGGCTGTGGATCAAGGAATTTGGTCATGGTATCCTTGAGCAGAACGGCGCTGGATGAGATCGAGGGAGGGCATGCGGCGCTTAGGGTTTCTGGAAACCCTAAGTCTACACGGGTTTGACGTGGGTTTGGGCCTGGTGCTGTTGGGCCCTGAAAAGAAAAGAAAAAATGTAATAAATATATAATATAATTTATAATATAAATATATATATAAGGACGAAATTTAGTGTATTCAACAGGAAAGCCTTATTACACCGATTTGCTAGATTTATTCAATGAGGTCAGTTTTTTTTTTTTTTTTTTTTGCATTGGCTGCATACCATAATGATCTCTTGCTTTCGACATAAACAAATCACGCTGGTGTTTGTGACCTAATCATTTTAGGTGGAATTTCAAACCGTCTCGGGTGAAATGATAGACTTAATAACCACACTTGAAGGGGAGAAAGATTTATCGATGTACTCATTGTCAACGTAAGTGACTGTTTGAAATTGTTGCAGTTAATGCAACTTGAGTGCAAAATGATATTCTGTGTTGCATACAACACATGAAATGATTTGTTCCTGATTCAGTTACCGCAGGATTGTTGAGTACAAGTCGGCTTATTACTCATTTTACCTTCCCGTGAGTAACATTCTATTTTACAGCTTATATTTTCCAAGATTTGTGATCCATTATCGGTCGGATCAAGCAGTTTGTATCGTTAGTGACAGTGTACATCGCGGTCATTCGTTTTATAGGGTTTGCTTCTTATTTTCTCAAGATGAACCACGTTGCATGTGCATTGCTTATGGCAGGAGAGAATCTGGTCAATCATACTGATCTGAGGAATGTTCTTGTTGAAATGACAATCTATCATCAAGTGCAGGTGATCTTTAATTGCAAGACAACATTTCTCAGCTAATATTAAACATCTATGTTTTCTTCTGTTCACCTAGCAATTTTCTTTTTAAATTGCAGGATGATTTTCTAGATTGTTTTGGTGATCCTGAGGTAACTGGCAAGGTGAGTTTTGGAAAATAGCTGTTCTGATAACGATGGTGATTAGTTGAAGGCCTTACTAGCTAATTGCTTTCTTCTCTATTAGATATGAACCAATATCAAAGACTCCAAGTGCTCTTGGCTGGTTGTAAAAGCTCTGGAACGTGCAAACGACGACCAAAAGAAACTGTTATATGTAAGTCTCAAATCACACGTCGCGAATGTCGTTTTAGATACCATTTCTGGCTTTGCCCCGGCTGGACATAGTATACATGTGCATTCTATGCCGATTTCGTTATTATACTAATGTAATTTCTTGGTCTTTAGCTTCCTTACTTCCCAAGTCACCTTCAGTTTCTTGTGCCATGGTTCATCCCAGACATAAGCAGCCTTATAGTCTGGGCGAGACAATGTCGCAACCAAATTAGATCCCTGTTGCTGCAACATAAATATTTACTTTATTTCATTTCCAGGGGAACTACGGAAAAGCCTATCCAGCATGTGTTGCCAAAGTGAAAGAGCTGTATAAAACTCCGGACATTCAGGTTCGTCGTGGTTGCCCATCTGCTTCTGCTTTGCATACATGAGCTGCAAACATTTATTTGACAGATTTCTGGTGCCTACTTGCAGGGTGCATTTGCGGAGTTCGAGAGCAAGAATTACGAGAAGATAACAAAGCAAGTCGAGGCTCATCGATGCAAAGCCGTGCAAGCTATTAAGCGAAGATATACATACAAGAGGCAGAAGTGGAGATTTGAGCTGAACAAAGATAAACAAACATCGGATTATATCCATAGGGGAATAAATGTTGGCAAAATCTAGACAATTTGGACAGTATTTTTATTAGGAAATGCAAATTAAATATAGAAATAAGTTGTTAAAACAATAAATAGATTAACTATTGGTAATTAAGCACATCTTGTCCCGAAATGGAAAACCAAACCGAACTTTCAGCTAAATTTATAACCACTTTATCCTTTATGCTTTGTCGGATTTCTCCGACGGGAAATCAGTACATTTAGTCCTCGTCCTCAAAGATTCTAATTCATTTCCAGGGGTTCTTGATTTCCTTTCACAAATCCTTCATCTTCACGGGATCAAGAATACTTGGCGCATCTTACTTCGCCGATTTCCAGGTTTTTTCAACCTGACATTCATCTGTTATCAATTTCCAGGGTTTATTAACATTCAACCAATCTATTTAAAAAAATAATTTTTGGTTATTTGTTGACAAGTTGCCATGGAAAAAGTTGAGGAAGTAACTAAAACTCCGAAGACTAGCCAGCTTTGTAAGGGTAAGCTTTCTCATAACTTGTCGTTTGGAGAAGTGAACTCGGAGGAATCGAGAGACACCCAACATTGTATGCAACACCGCGAGCATCGACGGGCAAGCCATTGGGGTCGAAGTCGAGCTGCCTTTGCTCACCTACGACTCATGCGGGATCCTTCCGGTGTCGTTACCATAGAGCTGGCATGCCGAGGGCGGGTTCCATCGGATCAAAGTTTTCGATGCTTGGTAACTCCAAATCCGGGCAAATCAGTGATTCTCTTCAAGCTCAGTAGGAGTTTCAACGATTTCGGATTTCGATTTTTACATACGTGCATGCATTCGTATTTTTAATCTCTCATAAATTTATGGAAAGTTTAGATATGGATGCAACTAATTGAAAATCTATCTGAAAATCTATCTTTCAAATGATCTCAGTGCTAAAAGTTAATATTATATGTGTGGTATGTAGATTATAATTTTTTTTTAATATATATTACTTTATAATCACCCTAAAATATTCAAAAATATATATATATACACACACATACAAAACTACTAATTTTTGTAAAGAAAGAAAATACATCTTATTATTTCTGATAATAGTAATTTGACAGTATATTTATGTTTTGTTAAAATAATGTTGTATCATATTATAAATTAAAATATTTACAAAATAATATATTTCAAAATAATTTTAATTTTTATAAATTTTACATTTCACTTTAAAGTGCATTAAATAAATTTTAAATATATTTATATTATCAGTCATGCCTAAGCAGATTTGATTACAGAAAGTTATAATTTTCAAATATCAACCAAATTTGAGTTGAATGAGTCCAAAGTTGATATTATCATTCATGCATTAAATATCAATGAAAAGTTGATTTAAGAAAAATAAATAAATAAATAAATAAAAGTATGAAGAATTCACTAAGATATATGTACCTAAGTTTAATAAAGTCCGTAATGTTATTATTATGAATTCAATTATATAGTTTTTTTTTGGTCAATAAACAGGCTAATGGGGATTTCCCAAGCTTGAACTTCAATACTAATAAATAACTTAATAATGTACGACATTACAAACAAGTCGAAAATGACTAGTTAACAAAGTAGTGTAATGAAAAAAAATAATGTACGCCATTATCTTAAACTTTTAAAAACATTTTTACTGACATATGATATTAATAAAAAAATATGCGATATTATTATTTTTAATAATTTAAGATAATTATAAAATAATATATTTTAATTATTAATAATATATAAATTTTCTATCTATATAACGGTTTTAATCTAGATCTTCTTGAAAACAACACAACCGAACTATCTTATAAGTTTTAATGAAGTGCTGTTCGTTGCTTGATAAAAACAGATACTGTGCTACCAAGATCGATTAATCAAAAAAGAAATACGGCGCCGTATTAAATTTCCTCGTCCTGGTGAAGCTCTTCTTGTCAAACGAAAAGCAACCTCCCTATCAAAGTATCAGCATCAGATGCCACGTACTGCCAAATTTTGGTAATTGTCATCTAATTCAATTTATAAACAATTAATTAATTAAAAATATTATATAATTTTTTAAAGCCTGCATATATAAATATAAAAATCATTGTAATCTCCAGCTCTATCTATCACCAGCTTTTTTCTTTTAACTCACTGCTGGTTTCACAGATTTTCCATACTACACCCATTCACTCTGCCCAACAAAAGATAAGGTAATAATTAACATCTTTTTGGTTACATAAATTCGGTTTTTTCTCGAGAAATTTGAGAAGGAACGTTTTTTTAAATCTTTGTTAGCTTAAAGTAAATAGTTTCATTTAAAAATTTATATGCTTGTGATAGATCTTGATCAGGTTTGATTAGATTGGATCCTGGTCAGGTTCAATTTGTTATGAAGGTGTGGTTTTTTATGTTTGAATTGGGCTTCTTGATATTTTTCTTTTCCTTATTGGATTTTTCTGTTCGATATATATATATATATATATGCATACCATTCCAACTTCTAACTGCTGCAATTTCTTCAGAAAAATTAAAGCTTAGTGATTTGTGATCAACCTGGATGTAATGGGAAATTATTTAATATTTATGATTACTCTCCTTTTTTTCTCTGGTCTCTTTGTATTTCTTGATTCATGAATTTGCTGTATGCATTGCCTGATTGTATTGAGTATATCTAATGCATGAAAAGCGAACGTTAATTAGTTTTCCTCAGATATTTCTTGGTTTCATTTGTGCAACAGCTATTATTGTTTTGAGTTTGAGGACGCCGAACATACTGTTTTTTCACAAATCAGACTCGGACATTTGGGTTTGAAGCATACAAATATTGGTTGAAATCTTGGTTTCATGTTGCAGTGCTTAGACGGATTGAAGCATTTATTTGCTTCTGTATTGCACTGTTGTGATATTGATTTGTACAAGCAGCCCAGAGGTCTTGAGGATCCTGAACTTCTCGCAAGGGAGACAGTTTGTATGTTATCAACTTCCTTTTTCTTTTCTTTTTTTCCTGTTAAGCTTTTACTCTATTGCTAGAACGATAATGTCAAATGCTTTTGCAAAATTTTAACATCTTCTTTGGACTTTGCCTGTGTTATTTTTGTAATTCATTTTACTGGAATTTGTTGTTTTGCTCATCTTGATGCAGTTATTCTAAGTGAAATAGAAGCACCTTATGAACTCTTCAAGAAGATAAGTAGTGCAGTGATAGATGACGGGCTGATTAACAAGGTTTTCTTAATTACCTTTTTCCCCCCCTACATTTGGTTACGTTTGTCTAGTTTTTGAACTTGATGATCCTTTTAGTATTTGTTTTTTGTTTATATTATATTTGCCAGGAGGAGTTTCAATTGGCCTTATTCAAAACAAGCAAAAAGGAGAGCTTGTTTGCAGATCGGGTAATATTTTATATAATGTTAATATTTTATTTCCATTCTTGATAAAAGAATTCTTGTCAATCTCATCATGCCAGTTATTTGTAGTATTTTAGCTCAAATTATTAGCTTCTTTCCATGAACTGCGTTCGAAGAATGTCTGATTTCACTGCAGGTGTTTGACTTGTTTGATACAAAGCATAATGGAATTCTAGGCTTTGAAGAGTTTGCTCGTGCTCTTTCTGTCTTCCATCCAAACGCCCCTATTGACGATAAGATTGAGTGTATGTGCCCAATATTTTAAGCTGTCTGCATCAAGTCCTCTATTTGCCTATTTGCATGTTAGACATAATCACGTTAACTTGGTGGTTGTATTAAGCATGTCAGCTTCCAGTAGCTAAGTACTTTGTCTTCTCTCAATTCTTTTATTTTATTTTTCATTTGCAGTCTCTTTTCAACTATACGATCTCAAGCAGCAAGGTTACATTGAGAGACAGGAGGTATGTGCTGCGGTTTTGATTCGATCATATTTTTCTTTCTATTTTTTCTCTTTATTCATATTTTTCATTTATAGGTTAAGCAAATGGTAGTGGCTACACTTGCTGAGTCTGGTATGAACCTTTCAGATGATGTTATAGAAAGTATAATTGACAAGGTAATAACTCAATCTGATTTAATTGAAGCTGTATTTCTTCTAATTTTAGTTTTCTTGGGTCTAGTTTCTACATGTTAAGTTTTGGATCTTTTTTGACAGACTTTTGAGGAAGCTGATACAAAACATGATGGGAGGATTGACAAGGAAGAGTGGTGAAGTCTTGTTTTGCGACAATATGACCCTGCAATACCTCAAGTAAGTTTCAAATATGCCTCTGTAGTAAGCAACGTTATCAGTTGTGTTATCGTATAAGACTTACTGTTAGTGATGTGTGCTCAACTTCAATTGTTCTTTGCTTGTTTCCTTGAGCAGAGACATCACGACAACATTCCCGAGCTTTGTTTTCCACTCACAAGCCGATGATACCTGAAATCAGCATCGAATTAAAGCATTCATGTGACCTTATTTCATTCTAGGCAATGGTGGCAGATTCAGATATAAATAGGAAAAGAGTGAGTATCTGTGATGATTTGGTTCATTGGTTAAATATTTTTCTTGTGTGCGTCGTCCATATTCAACCATTGAATATTGTTTCTTCTTCTTTTTTAGTGTTTTTGGTTAATTGGTTAATTTCAGATGGTCTTAATGTAAAAAAGGAATTCTAGGTCCATTTGAAAACAAATTGCAATTTCTATTCTGGAATGTGGAAAATTTTCTTTGAGAATGTAGAAGTTGAATGAAGTAAATAAGCAAAATCAGTAGCAGTTTTCAAATATTGGGACATGGAAGGCTTCCTCGCATTTTCAGTTTGCAAACACCATGCACCAACCTCGGGCTTTGTTCGACTGCACATTGTCGACTAAATCCACGAGTCATCCTTCTTGCTTTCTCCTAAAATCTCCCAGTCAATGCCCATCTTCTTCCTGTTGATCCATTAACATTTTCTCCCGCACAGAATTTCTAGGACCACAATACCAAACCTATAGACATGTCTACTCATATAACCAGAGGTTTGTTAGGAAAATAAATCGAGTACAAGTAATTTCCCTATAACCAGATTAGTGAGAATGCAAAATAAAAGCGGAAAAATAATACCCGAAAATTGATAACGGAGTTCAGTCAATTATGCTTACGTCTCCGGGCTGCTGCAGA